ATTAGATATCTTTAAAAATGTCGAGATTGTTATCTAGATATAAATATGCCATCTGTCATATTCTAAAATATTGTCCCGTATATTCTAAATATTCAATATTACAGAGGACCATAAATGTCTTTTGAGTAATTTTATACTAATTATAAGTATATTTCAACTTATTAAAATATACTATCTGGCTCAGACTTTGCAACTTGCATGTGAAAAACCATTCTCTAATCGTTTTGGGGATAAAGACCATGGAAGTGGAACTACCTATCCCTTCAGGGAATTGAATTAGAGCTTTGAATTGTTTCCTAAATAAGAATTTATTGACCACTATTATTGTATTAGAAACTATGCTCAGCACTAAAGTTCCAAAGATAAATACAGTTTGGTTTCCTTCCCAAAGGTAAAAAACAGATTATTTCAATCCTCTGTGGCATACTCAATAATAAAGGCAAGCACAAATTTCAATGAAACCACAGAGAAGGACAGGTGGGCCAGTTGTAGATTCCAAATAGAATTCCAGAAGGTCATGATGCTAGAGTAGAAGCTTAAGGGATAAAGATTCATAATCAGGTGAAACACTAATGAGGTGAGGGCACAGGAATTTCATGTCAAGAAAGAAATTACAGAGAGACAGGTGTAAGTAGAGACAAAAAAGACGAACACATGGCACAAACTGTAGCGGGTTATAACAAGCCAGTGATAGTTAATAGATTTGGAACCTTTTGGTTAAAAGCATGGGTTCTACAGCCAGACTGTCTGGTTCATACCCCAGCTCTATTTCTACTCATTTCTAACTGTGAGTAAGTCATTTAATCCTTTGTCTCAGTTTCCTCTCTTATAAATTGAAAATGAGGATGATAATAGGATTATCCTATAAGAGTTGTCAAGATTAAATGTATAAAATGTTTATACAAGCAACTGGTACACAGTAAGCACTAAATAAAAGTTCCTGTCTACTGGAGAAGACAAGAAAAGAGAGCCAAAGCACCACATGAAAAAATCAACTCTTGAGACTCTTTATTCCTAACCTCAACCTGTAATATCATAAATGACAAAAAAAAAAAAAAAAAAAAACAAGAAAAAGACCAGAGATAACAATGTGAACATATTTATAAAACATATATATATAGTGATGGAGCTTCGTAAATACACACACACACACACACACACACACACACAATGACAGCTCGGTAGCATCAACTTTCCTTATGGAGTATATACATTTACATTCTGATTTTGAAGGTAACAGTTTTGTGCTACTTGATCTGTAGTGATGGGCATATTGCCAATACAAAATAACAAAGTCAAGGACATTATGTTTCAAACTTACAATACAATACATATTCTCTGTTAGAAGGCAAATCCTTCAGTTTAAATTGTTGACTCAGATAATATTTTTAAAAGAATTTCAGCTGTTTAAATTTAGTATGCTGAGAAAGACCAATCTTAAAATATTATTTGGCTTTACGCCTATAACATTTTCAATTTATTCCTTGTTAGTGTTTGTCTTCTATGATAAGAAGACAAGTGACAGTAATCATGTTAGTCTCCTTAATACTTCGAATTTTACCTAAATGAGCCATTTTGTTTTCATCTTCACCAGTTAAAGATGTCCTTTCATTTACTGGCAAATATTCAGAAAGTGATTATGCAAGAAGCAGTGATATTTCCATGTACTGTTTTCCCTCTTCAGTTATCATCTGGTCTTTCTCCCTCACTTTACTTTGAATCATAATTTTTTTAGTCTTAAAAAAAGTAAAGGAGATTATCCGAAGACATGACTAATCTAATATCTACAATCAGACTTTACAACTATTTAAAGAGATGTTTTGAGTCTGCGTTTTATCTATGACTTTAAAGATCTCCACCCAACGCACAGTCTAAAGAGCCTGTTTTTCAGAGTCCCACAGGACACAGAATCTAGACAAGGTCTCACACCAGCCTCCCACCATGTGGTGCCCTTCTTTTCCCTTCATCCCTCTTGGTGTTTAGGTAGTCCAACTCCTCCCCTCCCATATCTTCCATCCTGGCAAACAGGCTCTGAACTTCATTTCCATAGTTCATGAAGCTAGAGCAGAGCATTGAAACTGGAATGGCTGAGTATGACAAGTTTGGATTTGGGGTCAATTTAGGTTCCAATTTTGGTAGATCCAATCTTGAGTGTCAATAGAACAGGGAATTCTCTCCTGACTGGAATGATTTCTCAAGCACTCTCAACTCACTCTACCTACAAACCATATTCAACCCGCTTGATCCATAGCAGAGTACTCCTTTAACAATACAAAGTGGCAAAATGATTCAGAGTTAGCACTACTCACACCTGGGGGCTAATCCTAGCCTATCATTTACTAAATATGTTGCTTTAGGCAATTTGCTTATTCCCTCTAGGACTGAGTTTTTTATGAATGGGAGAAAATGCCATCTCCCTACTGCCACCCATAAATAAGACTTTTTCAAAGAGCTTAACCTAGTACCTGCCATGACTACACTCACAATAACTGGGAACTATTCACGCATTGTATGGCAAGTAAATCATACATGCAAATAACCAAAGACCTATCAAGAAGCTGAACCTATTCCATAGTCAATACCTAAGTGTAAAGAAATGCATGAGATTCTTACTTGAGGTAAGATTTTGTACAGATGTTTTACAAGAAAGAGGAAATGCCAGAGATGGGAAACAGGTAATAAGGGTAAAATTTCTTCAAAATTTTGCCTGGAGCTTCCTCCAGGCAGGTACTCCTAGGCTAGAGGTATTACTCTTAAGAAGATATTGCAAGAGTTTCATGTATACATAAGTACAGTTCTGTTCCTGACACCAGCCAGAAGAAGCATTTAGGAAAGTGTAGCCTTAAAATGTCATTGCAATTGTATCCTTAAAATGTCATTTCATTTCATGCCTATATATCAACATCAGTGTCATTATTAGTAGGCAGAATTAGATCAAGGGGCCAGCAGGTATCTTTGTCTGGCTTGTTTGGCTACAACTCTTCCTTCTTTCGATATTGTGCAAGGAAATGCTTGAGTCACTAGATAGTTGTCTAGTTCAGACACAGCCCCAGCAAACCTTACTAAGGGTCTAAATCTTAAAACAATTGTTTTATTTTGAAGATGGTTTTGAAAATTATCTTTTCAGACATAACATGAGGTTTGTTTACCAGTAAAACAAACAAAATATGAAGCAAAGATATTCCCCAAACTCAAACGCTACCTAAATTTCTATCTTAAATAAGTCTGACAAATTCCTATTTAATCCAAATTCCTATCAAGTCCAATCAGGCACTTAGCCTGATGTTTTTTCTTTTTAGCTAAATACTCAAGATTTAGGTAATGATCTATTCTAGAGTAACTGGCAACTGTTGGCAAACTCGCACCAACCATGTTCTTTTATTCAGTCTTAGTATAGATTATTTTTTATTGCTGTCTAAAAATTTTAACCACCCTTCTACATACACTATCATAACAAATATATTCTCTGGATTATAGTTTACTCAGTGATTTACATAGTCATATGTAGAGATTTTGCACCAAAAAATTATGTCTCTGTGGAATCGATTATCTCTAAAAAATTGGGTATTTCAATAATGATGAACATATTATATCTGGAGATCCCTGAGCATAGGGAAAGTAATTTATTACTTTCAGAATATTTTATTTTTAATAAAATAATGAAAATTTGTTGGATCAGAAAAAGAGTAACACAATTTAAAATGTAAATAAGAGGATAAGAGTGATCCTTAGTTTCCTCTTTTTTAATGACAGAGAATTTCAGAATTACATACTGTGCATTTCACAAGTTATTTCATAAGTTTTGATACCCCTTTATCTTAGAGAATTTATGGCGGCATATTGAAGTGTCAGCTTAAAATTCTAGTTCTGTTTTAGGTAACCTCTGTTTTTTTTTTTTTTCTTCATAATCTTTCTTGGAGAAGACTATAGTAATACAGTAAATTCTCCAATGATCCCGCAACTAAGTCTAATAATTTTGTATAACATATTCTTTCTGCTTGAGGGATTCTTTTTTATTTTCATTTATTTAAATTTATTAATAAAATCTGGTCAGTGCAAGAGAGGACCTGGTGAGATATTCCAAGATTTTAAATTAATTATTTCTGGTTCCCCTTCTACAAAAGACCTTTAGTATTCTGCAGGCATTCACATTCATCTGGTCATTTGCTTTATAAAGGGCTGGCCCTTGCTGACCTATTTTACCTCCTTTTCAAGGAGGAGTTGGTTATCTGCAATTCGAGCAACCAGTTGAAGTTGTTTTTTAAAAGTTTTTTTAGCTTTACTGTTTGTCGGTGAACACAATGCTGCTTAGTTCTAAGTATAAAGTCATATAAAGTCATCAGTTAAAACCACCACTTTGAAATCAAAAGGAAAGGACCATTTAGCAACTAGAGATTATTGCAGTAGTAAGAAACTGAAGGCATCCTTCACGTTCCACGCACTAAAACGTATTTGAATGTTTATCGTATCATCAGTGTCATCCAGGCTGTTGCCTAGCAGTTATCTAGAGAACTACTTCACGATTTATTTTGATTTAATAAAGCAAGTCAAAGTATTTTGCTTGATTGCTTCTTTATTTTACAGATTGGGAATAAGTCTGGAATGAAACTTTTAACAATTAACTGGGCATCTGAAAATCTAAGTCAGACTTTTTGAATTTTCTTCTACAAAGGCAAGCTGCTATCCATTAGTAACTTTCAGGAGACCACTCTTATAATTAAATCTAGAGGACAATTGCCACTTTTGTTGCCTAAAATCACAATGGGCAGGGGCTTTCGGCATACCTAAGCAACCAGCAGTATCCTTCTGCAAATAACTAAGAGTAGCCGACTATAGCATAACTAGGACAAGAGTGAGGGAGACAAACCGATGTAACATCTCATGGAGAATTCAAAGCTATGCTTTTCTAACTTTCCTCGCCATTTCTTCTCAGCTTCCCTTCCCCCGCACGACGTACCCAGAAGCCACTCAAATTGCTAACCATGTCGAGTTTAACTTACTGCAGTGTGATGCAGGCGAAGGCTGGGCGCATTTCTGAAGCGAGAGCAACTGCTTTTCCGGAGAGGAGCTGGGACTAGCCAGCTATCAGGATCCTTTCCAATTCACACGCTCTCGTCTCAGTCAGAAGGCTCCCTCACCGCTCGACTTCCCCTGAGGAGTGGAGCTTCAAGAACTCTGCTCACAGCATCTCCTCCTCCCTACCCACTTCCACCCCCTTCCAGAACACACAGCCCATTCTAACTAGTGTCTGAAAGATGAAAATCGACTTCCAGTCAACAACACAGGCTGCCTGCAGCTACCAGTCCCAGAAAATTTGCAACTCACAAACAGCGGAGGCTGAGAGATGTAGGTTTCCGGAGCCTGAAAGTCATCTTTGGCATCCCCCTTCCCCACCTCTCACTCCTCCCACTCCCCCCCTCCTTCACCGCGGCCACCTCCAGTCTCCCACTCAAGCCAGTTATCACAAATGATTATTTTATTATCCATACCAATAAGCATCAGAAGGAAACTGAATCTGTCAAAGATGAAAATACCTGTTGTCCATGACTAATGCTCTTCTCTCATCGAGTCCTTGATTTATATCAAGACGCATTGATATTGGAAATCTGTGGGGTGCATGCGTGTGTGTGTGTGTGTGTGTGTGTGTGTGTGTGTGTGTGTGGTGAGGAGGAGGTAATCTGCGTGGCTGCAAGCAACAGCCCTGCCTATCTCTGGCTGCTGCTTGCTTCTACAGCTGCTGTTGCTAGTATTGCTGTTGGAACTCAGGAAATAATGAGACAAGAAGACAGTGCTTTACAGCTATTTAACTGCTGAACGAGTTATAAGACCAGGGGAGCGACTGTTCAGGTATGAGTGGATGTTGTTGAGACAATAAGCTCGATTTAATGCAATTACCACCTTTCAGGATACATTTCCCCTACAGGAAACCTGACACCTGTCTCCCTCTCTCTTTTACTAACTGTAGTCCTTTAGTCCTTAATGGGTCATTCATTGTTCATCAACCACCTGCCTAACCCACTTCCAGCAATTGTAACAGCTGCACACTCTATTTCTACATTCAAACTTGGTAACCTGGGAGTGAGTGACTGGAGGATAGATGAAAATAAAAAAAGGAAAAGGGAAACCAGTGAATGTTAAAAGGGAAATTGCATTTATGTGTAACCTATCCAGGCACAGATAAAAATGATAATTTTGAGCTGTATGTGTAAAATGATGCATTGGGGTAATAAAAAGGGAAACGAGTAAATAATCATGCCTATTTTATAGAATGTGTGCAACCTAGATAGTTATTCAGAAGTGTTTACCAGCTTAAATGCAAAGTATCTTGATATATACATTCCGTGGTGTCTCTCAGTTTCCCCACATAACATCCACTGTGATTTCAATGCATTAACATCTGTCAGCTTCAAATTCTGGTGGAACCTACTGTTACTACTGTCTATGGCTCACTCTCTCCTTATTAATTGCTCATTCTCTGCCCTAATTTATCTCCACTATATTCTCAAATAAGGGGATATTTAGCAGAACTTAAAAGTTAAAGACTAGATTACTTCTTAAAGACTAGAATACTTCTTAATGACTAACTTAATTTGCTCTAACAATAGTTTGTCTTTATGTTCTTATTCTGTAATAGATTGGCTAACCATGAACTCCTCCTGAATACACACACTTGCACCTCTTAATTGAACGGTACTATTAATTCATTTTGAGCATTTTGTTGTCTAAGCTAAAAATAAACTTAATTCCTTTTGATTTTATTTGTAATGCACAACTTAAATTATTTGTTTTGCCTGAGCAATTTTTATATTTTTCATAGAGTTTCCTAGTTATTAGGTCTTGTGTAATCAGTGTTAAATTGGACAAATGTTAATGCAGAAAGAAGAAAGCCCCTGGAAATATAACAGAGAACCCAGAAAGAGAAAAGAAACCCCAAATAATTAAATGATACATCTTCTCCTCATCTGTCATTATTAGAAAAATCACTGCCTTTAGCTAAACAAATTGCAAAGCGTTTATCAATTATCCAATAAATATCAATTTACCAAAATCAACCTAACTACAATTGTTATAGAAATTACAAAGACTAATATTTTGTCTTAAAAATCAAACACTACAATTCGAAGGTATTCAGAATTTTTTAAATGTCAAAATCCTACTAAAACATCATGCCAAATAGCCACATACTTTTACCTCTTTTTGGGGGAGGGTCCTATTAAATAGGTATTATAAAACACACTAATAGTATTATTAAAAATCTGAAGAGTAACTTTATATTTTTATACTTACATATAATGCAATGTAAAGAAGTCAAAAGGAGTCTCTACCACTTAGAAATACATTTGAAATAGAAGGCCAAATTTATCAATAGGTGATGTGATTTGAAGCTTATCTGGCCCCTGAAACTCATCTGTTACTAACATTACCAGAATCTGAATTTTCAGTTTAACATTTTTGTTTTGTTTGTTTTACTCTTACTTTTATTTTAAAATTCAAATATATTTAGAAAAAGCATTTATAAATTAAACATTCTTGAGATGATTTATTATATATCTATTACAGACAAGCAGGAAGCTAGATAGAGATGGAAAAACCAGGAAGTATTGAAGTAATTGCTAATGCGCGTTTAACAACAATTTGGTTGGGTTTTTAAAATTTGCTTGTAGCATTACTGAGATTTAAGAACAAACAGCTTTTTTAACAAAACTACCACCCAATCCCCAAGGTTTGCTACTGGAGGAACCAAATCTTTAGTTAGGGATTGATGGCTAACCCTTAATCTCTGACTCTTTTAACTCAAGATTTTCCTTTTTGTGGGAAAACTTATATAAATTGCTGCTTCATAACCCTGTACCTATTTTTCTAAGATGCCTCTTTGCTCCTATCACCAGATTTTCAGAAACTTTGTAATAATCTTGTTTATAATTAATTCATCCCCCAAAAAATATTTTAGAAAAATAAACTTGCTCAATAAAAAAAATCAACAATCTATGGAACTATAGAAATATTTAATTTTTAACTATTTTAACTATGTCGTCAAAATATGTATTCCCAAATAAAATTATGTATATTAATAATACTTGTTTACAAGAAAAGAGCCAAAAGATTGTAAACTCTGTCATGGTAAAAGCTCTTTGCTTCACATGTGTGTCTCTAACATCCATCAAAGTGGTATGTTTGCAGTAAATACTTTTTTAATAAATGAATGAATGAGTAAATAAATTAATCTCTGAATGCAAGACATTGAGAAGATAAGTGAGCTGGAAATAAGGATGTTTACATTCTTCCAGTCTACTCTGCAGGTAAATAACTGTGGCACTTAGACAAATGACTCACCTCTTCTGTTCTCAAAGTATCCTTTTAGATCTATCACTCAGAGACTCCACAAAACTTTGTAACAAATGTCTGTCCCAGTATTCCTCCAAAATGGTTTTCTACTATACAAATTCAATCATTAAAATTACCTAGACTCTCATTCCCTGAGTATTTTGCAAAGAAGTAACATCAGGACCTATTAATCCCTAAGAAATGCATGGTTTCCCCCACTTTTGACTTTCAAACCTCATGTGAGTACTAAACTAAATGGTTTAAGAAAATAGCTTCTTACACTTTTATGTGTGTGTGTGTGTATTCCTAAAATTTTGGTTTCATACCAAGGATTATAAGAAAGGTAACCTTCACTGAACTTTTATAAATAAAATACAATGAATCTTAAGAAATAATTTGAGAAATAGAAAAATAGTAAAATATCATAGATTACTCAAAATAAATACAAGTCCATATTTAATTATATCCTTTTATGTAAATTTGTGCTGAAAAACACCTTGTCATGTTAATTTTATTCAACAAAAATTTATTGAGCATCTAGTATGTGCAAAGCATTGAGAAGAGACAGTCCAATCAGCACAGCATCTGTTTTTAAAGTACATATGGCTCAATAAATAAAAATATTGTTACTTCATAATTAAAAAATAATTTAAGTATGTTAAGTTTCAGAAAATAAAATAGCTAAAATTTAAATCAAACATGATTAAAATCTTTACCAACTCTGACTGAAATGATGAGTGGAAAGATACTTCCTAACTTGAGCAAACTGTCACATGGGAATTTTTCCACTGATTTTCAATTGATGAATCAGTGGATATAGGCTGAGAGTTTAGGAGAGATCCAGAAAAAAGACACGCTTTTATATCATTACCTTTAAAAAGAGTCATAATCATAAAAGATTGGCTTTGGATAGGACCTTAGATCTCGTTCAGTCCGATTCTTATATTTCATAGGCTATAAATAGGTCACTAGAGCATATTGCTGGAAAGTCCACTCACCAGTCCCTCCATGGACTATCTGGTTATGAATAGCACGGTATTAGACACACAAGCTTTGACATAAAAAAAAATATCATGCTTTCATTCCCGAGTATGTCAATGACTACCTGTATGACCTTGCAAAAATTTTCTTGCCAGATCTCATTTTTCTCATGTATGATACCAGGATGTTTCAAGCTCCATTGAGGAGTAATTGATAAATAAAATTGGAATATATTTTAAATGCACAAAGTGATGATGTTACATACGTATACACTGTTAAAGAATTCCAACTATCAAGTTAATTAAGACGACCATCGCCTCGCATATTTGCATATTTTTTTTCAAGAAAACTTAAGTCCAACTCTGTTAGAAAATTTCAATTACAAAATGCAGTATTTTCAACTAAAGTCATTGTGTTATACATTAGATCTTCAGAATCAATTCATCTTATAATTAAAATGTTGTTCTCTTTTACCAGACTGTTTCTATTCCCCAACTCCACACCCCAACCCATCACAACAACCATTCTACTCTCTGTTACAAGTTCAACTTTTTTTCCCCCTTGATTCCACATATAAGTGAAAACATGCAGTATTTGCTTTCCTTTGTCTGGCTTATTTCACTTAGAATAATACCCTCCAGTTTCCTCCATGTGGTTATAAATGGCAAAATTTCCTATTTTTAGGCTGAATAATATTCCACTGTGTGTGTGTGTCTATGCGTATCACATTTTCTTTATCTACTTGGCTATTTTGAATAATGCTGCCATGAACTTGAGAGTACAGATATCTCTTTGAGACCATGATTTAGTTTCTTTTCAATTTATATACAGAAGTGGGGATGCTGGATCATATAGTAATTCTATTTTTAATTTTTTGAAAAAGCTCCATACTGTTTTCTACAGTGGCTGCACCAATTTGCATTCCCACCCCTAATGCACAATAGGTCCCCTTTTTTCACATACTTCCTATTAGTTATCTCTTGTCTTTCTGATAATAGAGATTCTAACGTGT